CCCCAAAACCCCAAAACCCCAAAACCCCAAAACCCCTTGATTATGTAATAGCTAAGAATTTTTTTCAAGAAATAATTTAAATAGAGTTAATTTAAGATAAGAAAGAAATGCAAAACTAAAAGGAATCAGATAAAGCTTAAAAGAAGAAAAACTCTAAGACTAAGAATCAAAATTAGCCTAAGCATTAGAAAAGTACTTTCATATTTACTAAACACCTTATTACATAGCTAAATTTAAATCAAGTGGAATAGATTAATCAAAGAATATTTTGCTAGATGTCTTTGATAGGGATCCAAAGGAAGAGTAGAGAAGCTCAAGTATACATTCAAATATAAAACTTGAAAATTCATAAAGTTCAATGAGGTCATCCGTGGTATCAATTAGCCTTAATGCATGTAAATTTATAAATCGAATTCAACCCATATTTCTGAATAATTACTTTGATAGCATCTATGATGTCTGGAAAATCCTTAATAATGTCAAAGAGAAGCTCTAATAAAAAGGCAGTGCACAAACAGATTATAGGATTCGGCTCAAGTGATAAAATTCATGCAAATCGTAAATTTTCCCCATATATTAATGTTTACTAGCTAAAAATATTAATCGAGTGAGATTAACTAGATACACAATATTTTCCTGGGCACCTTTATCATTGTTATACCAATTTAAAAGAGCTGCCAATATTTATTTCCTAATTATCACTATATTCACCTTCATGCCTTTCACCCCTAAGGTAATTATATAAGGCGATAATTTAAAAAGGACCCTTCATCTATGATAGGGACATTTTTGTTTGTCCTTGTCCTTACAATGCTAAGAGAGGGCTATGAGGATTATCAGAGATACAAGATGTAAAATGATCTGAACAGTAAATAGTCGAAAGTAAGATTCTTCAGATTAAATTATTAAATTAGATTTACAACTATGACTTAGAAAAATTTGAGCTTGTTAGGTAAATTTCAATATGATCTTAAAACCTTAATTTTAGATGGGACTAGATTAAAGCAGGCTAAATTATAAAACTTGATAAAGATTCAGAAATCCCAGCAGATATTCTAACGATTTACTCTACTAACATATCAGGATTGGTGTTTGTAGATACGATGGCTCTTGATGGAGAAACAAATCTGAAAGAAAAAATGGCAATTTGTGAAACTTTCGATGAGAAAGGTATTGCAAACTTGCATGGTGAAGTAACTTGTGATGCTCCGAATGAATTGCTAGACTACTGGGAGGGTTTTGTTAATTCTTAAGATATTCCCTAAAAGGCTCCTTGTACTATAAAAAACTTAATGCTTAGAGGATCCTATGTTAGAAACACCACTCATGCCTATGGAATAGTAATGTATACTGGAATGTAAACAAAAATACTTAAAAATCTAAAAAAGCCTCCTCATAAAGTTAGCAACATGATGAAAAAGATGAATTAAATGCTGTACACCGTATTTGTTTTCTAAGTTGGTATAGTTGTGCTATACTCATCCTTGAATTATAAATGGGCTTAAGAAAACTTTGGAAATCATGACGAAACTGGAAAAGAAGCTGATCAAGCAACGTTTGTAGACACCTTTTTAATATAGCTTTTAGTTTTCTGGGTTGCTTACTCTCATCTAATACCAATCAGTCTTTATGTTATCATAGAATTGTTGAAACTTGGATAGAGTGCATTAATTAATCGAGATATTCAAATGTATGATAAGGAGAACAAAAGTTTTTCATTTTGTAGAAACTCAGATCTTATTGAAGAACTCGGCTAAGTAGAAATGATATTTAGTGACAAAACTGGAACACTTACAATGAACAAGATGATATTTAAGAAATGCTAAATTAATGGTGAAAGAATGGGGGATATTCAGACTGCAAGAGGAAGTGAGAATGGTGATCCAGATGATGGAATGAGTAGTTCAGGCATTGCTAGAGTCAAAGAAAAGCTAAGAGAAGAGAGTAAAAGATACTACAAGAGCTTAAAAACATTAGATGGTGATAAATCAATATACAATTATCCTCATATGAATTTCGCGAAGGTACTAGCACTTTGTCATACTGTCGTCTGTGATAATGATCCCTTAACTAAAGAAGTAAGATATTAAGCTTCATCTCCAGATGAACTTGCACTCGTTTAAGGTGCAAAATATTTTGGGATAGAATTAGTTTCGAGAAGTCATGATAGATTAGAGATTGAAAATAAATTGATTGATATAAAAGAGATATATACAGTTGTCGCAGAATTTCCGTTTGATAGCACAAGAAAGTGCATGAGTGTTATAGTAAGGGATCAATTTATGAAGTTTTTTTTGCTAACTAAAGGAGCAGATTCAGTCATGACTGAAAAAATAAGCTTTGAAAAGTCAAAAATCAATGGTAATAATAAAATATCAGTAACCATCTATAGATTTGAAAAATAAGGTGACATCAGATCTAAATAAATATTCATCTGAAGGTTTGAGAACCCTAGTTATGGCAATGAGATAAGTACCAGAAGAAGAATACTAAACCTATTATAAAATCTATTCTAAACTAGTTAATTCTAACAGTCCTTATAAAGATAAGAAAATTACTGAGTTATACATGAAGATGGAGAAAAAATTAAGGTATCTTGGATGTACAGCGATTGAAGACAAATTGCAAGATGGAGTACCTCAAACAATTGCAATGCTAATCAAAGCAGATATAAGATTTTGGATGCTGACGGGAGATAAACTAGAAACAGCTATTGAAATTGCTAAGTCATGTAGAATAATCTTAGAGGGTAATCAAGTAATGGTATTATCTACCAATGACTTTGAAATATTGAACAGACATTTAGACAATCAGATTGAAATTCTAGGATTAGACGTTACAAAAAAGGTTAAATCCTTGAAGAATTTCGACTAATAAGGACTTGTTATTGCTATAGATGGCAGTACTCTAAGCTTGGTACTTGAGGATCCTGAGTTAGAACAGAAATTTTTTTACGTTTCACTTGTTGCAAAATCAGTAATATGCTGCAGAGTTTCACCTAAGTAAAAAGCTGATGTTGTCAGTCTATACAAGAAAAGAGGTAGCTGGGTAACATTAAGCATCGGTGATGGTGCTAATGATGTATCAATGATTTTAGAAGCGAATATTGGAATCGGTATTAAGGGCAAAGAGGGTACATAAGCTGTGAGAAATGCTGATTATGCCATTTGTCAATTCAGATATATACAAAAGCTTATACTTGTTCACGGGCATTGGGGATATCGTAGAGTTTCAAAAATGATCTGCTACTATTTCTATAAAAATGTAGTACTTGTTTTTACTGAACTTTATTTTGCCTTATTCAATGGATTTTCTGGGTAGATATTCTTTGTAGATTGGCTTCCAATGCTTTATAATGCTATATTCACAAGCTGGCCTTGCCTTTTTGCATTTAATTTTGAGCAGGACATAAATCCTCATTATATATACAAGCATCCAGTTTGCTACAAATCTGGATAATTAGGAATCTACTTTAATTTCAAGATATTTTGGAAGCAGATTTTACTTGCAATATGGCATGGTTTATGCTGCTTCTTTATACCAATGATGGTAAGAATATTGTTTTTGAACTGTTAAATAGAATGGAAATATGAATCCGGAACGATCTGATGGATCAACAAGCGAACTATGGCTTACTTCTACAATTACATTTACAATTATCATTCACTTGGTTAGCTACAAACTATTTTTGGAATCAAGCTTTTGGAATGTTTTTTCATTGTAATAATCCATTATTATTTACTTTATATAGATTGGCAGCTGTGATATGTGTTCTGTTTTATTATGTTGTTTGCTTTGTAGGCAGTTCTGATGCAGTATCATCATTTCTTTAACCTTAATTGAATGGGATGATGATGCAAATCTTCTCATTTTCTAAGTTCTACCTCATGGTTGTAGTAGTTCCAGCCATATGCCTCATCCCTGACTCAATACTCAAGCTTTAAAGGGCAATTTTCAACCCTTTACCTTCGGAAAAAATCATGATGGAGTAGAAAAAAAACCCAACTTACTCATACTTTGAAAATATTATCAAGAATGATCTGAGTGTATTCATAACAGATGTATTCAAGAAAAATAAGAGTCAGGGCCATCTCACCAGTAAAGCTCTATCAGAGATGGAGAAGCAAAGTGTTATATCTGGAGTTCTCTCTCCCTAATCATCTTTTCGCAATTACAACAATGGCTCCTAGAATGAGACGAATGGCTAAGAGGATGATAAAAATGGCTATAAAGCAAATATATTACCTGCTAGTCACCGAGTGGCTGGGGACTCAAAATTTAAATAGAATTCTGCAAAAAAGAAGTTTGATTAATAGGCAGATTAAGAAAAGGAATAAGAAAATGACGATGATATCGATTCAGATATTGATTTTGAAGATGATAGTGATGATGAAGATGTTGAAGAAAATGAAGTGGATAGTGATGAAGAGGATACCGATCAAGGACCATCATAAGAGCATGAAGATGTTATTCATGTAGAGGCAAAGGTAAAGAACCCTAAAAAGTAAGGAAAGAATAGACTAGATGAAATTGAGAGGTCGGTAACAAAGAAGCAAAAGAAAATGAAGCAGAGGGGCAATGAGACTACTCATCATCTATTGAATGACAGCAATGTTAGTGATAATGAAATTTTGAATGAAAGTGTATCCTCAAAGTTACTCCAGGAAAAGATCAACAGAGATATTAAAAAGAAGAAATTGTAGGAAAAATTCAAACAGGAAACTTAGGATGATAGCAATGAGAATGAAAGTAATGAGCAAGAGGAATCATCGGTGTAAGAGACAATAGAGCGAAGAAGCACAAAAATAAAAAAGCTAAGTAAAGACAAGATGAGAGAGTAAAGTTACAAAGAGCGTAAGAAGAAGCTGCTTGATAATATCAAGAAGGAAATGAAGCAGAAGAAGGATCAAGAGTATAAAATGCTTTAAGCGTCCTACCACTCAACTAAATCTAACAACCATCATAGTAAATTTTATCAACTATCAAAGCATTTTTTAGTTATGGAGTAATTGAATGATTTAGCTAAGGAAGCAGAGAAGAAGAATAAAAAGGAGATTAACCCTAATGCTAAATTTGGTGTAAAGGATCATTTGTTTGCTGCATTCTCTATAAATGGAAACAACTAGCCTTTCGGTTCTCAGGCATCAACTACTGAGAAGAACTTTACAGGAGATGTGCCTTACCTCCTAAATAATCTTGGGCATTCTATAGACACATTTACACCAACACCATCCATCTAGAACTCCAATAGCTATCCAAGCACTTTCTAACTTCCTCCTGAGAGAATAAAGGAGGATGGACATCCACTAGAGAGAGCTAAGCTTGGTTAAAAGAATTTAGCCACATAGAAAAAGACTAAAAAGAAGAAGTACGTCATGAAGTATAGGGAATTAATAGCACAGAATGAAACTTAAAATGCTTTGGAGAACTAAATAGTATAAGATTTCCTTGAGTAACCATCTGAGTTAGCATAGTAAAAAAGCTAAGAACAGGTTTAGAAGATAAAAGAAGTTAAAGATTTCAAATTATGATCCAACTAATCTTTAACTATTTCTGAAAATAGATAGTAACAAACTACTCATGCAAACAACTAAAATTAACTAATTTAGTAAAGCATATTTAAACATTAAATATTTATCTCAACTTCAAAGTTTAAATCTTTCACTATTGGGGTTTTGGGGTTTTGGGGTTTTGGGGTTTTGGGG